CAGGGCTGGGATCAGTAGGCACCGGAGTGAAGCCTGGTGAGGGGCCTGAGTGCAGGCAGAAGCTGGTGGGATCTAGTTGGACTGAAGCCATGCAAAGGCCTGTGGGCAGCCTCCCTATTTACTATAATACCATCTAGGTGTGGTGAGTGAGATGGGAAGGTGCCCTAGGGGGTGGAGCAGGGCATAGTTATGGAGCCACTAAGGGATGTCACGCAGAGCTGTCCCTTGGGTAAGGCAAATTGGGGTGACTGCCCCAGGCCCCATGCTTTGGGAGGCCCACACAGAGGTGGGCGGAGCAGCCACGGCCCCTCCTGGAGCTGGTGGCTCAGCCCCATGCTGCAGAAGAACCGTCCGGCTGCTCACTGTTAAACCTACTGATCTTGATAAGAGGGATCCAAGCCACTGCCCATCTTTCTGGGAGGGAAGAGGGGACTCCAGGTGGGAATCTATTTAGGTGGGAAAGAGGTCTTGTTGTCATGGTGTGCCTGAAGTCTCAACTGCTTTAATCTGGTCCTGAAATAAAAGGCTCTGACATTTCTGAGTCCTTTTCTACCCCCCCACCCTCCCCCATCCTATCTACCCACCAGGAAACAAATATTCCTGCAAAATAGGGTTCCCTAACCATTGTAAACGTGTTCCTTTTACACCTCCATCCCTCTGCTGACGCCAGTTTGGGGGCCTGGTTGGGATGCAAAGGGGGCATGCCTGGAGCCAGAGATGACCCTAGCAGGTTGCAGGGCCTGGGGCAAATTGGCCTGTGCAGAGCCCAGATGTGAAGAAGACGGTGGCAGCAGCAGAGGGTGGCAAGCAGCCAGATGCAAAGGCAGCAGCAGCACGGAATCATCAACACTAGGTGCAAACTGCAGGAGGGGTTGCGGCTGCTCCGTCTGGCTCCGTGAGGGCCCCCAAAGTGCAGGGCCCGGGGCTGTTGCTCTGATTTCTCCCCTCCCCCGGGACAGCACTGCTATATGCTCTAAGAATAGCTACTAGTAGACGTACTGAACTGAGCCTAAACTAGTATATCCTTGGGGCTGCTCAACTATCACCATGCTTAAAAAGAGAAGAAAATTGCTAAGAGGCTTTATGACCACTGTCACCTCATTTTTTTCAGTCTCTGTTCCATACGTAGCAGAAATAGAGAATCTAGTTCTTTCTACTAACATCCATTATAAGTAGCAGTTTCACGATTTTCATGGAAATAATGAAAAACAGCAGTTTCCATGACTGTGTGCAGAATTGCCAGGGGGAAAAAAAAAACTTACTAAGAATAAAACGCTGGTTTCCCCGGCCTTGCAGCCCACTGGGGTGGTGGGGAGAAGCCAAGAAGGCAGTCACTCCCTCAGCCACTGATTGGCTGAGAAGGCTGCCTTTTTTTTTTTTTTGTGCAGCCCTGCCCCTCTCTACCAATCAGCAGCAAGGGGCAGGGCCACATGAAAGGCAGCTCTCTTGACCACTCAGTGGTAGGGAGTATGGGGGCTGCTGTGATAAACCCATGAAAAGGGCAGCCAGCATCACAGTCGATCTAAAAAATTGCCCATTTGCCACCTTGATTTGGGTAGTTTCCTAATTATATAAGGACTGATTCCAGGATATGTCTATCTATGGGGGTGGACCTAGAAATTATCAGTAAGTAGTCTAGGTATTATCTATGCTTGAAAACTAAATCAAATAAAGGGAAGGTAGAAATTTAAAATGCAATTTATTCACAAATAGTGCCAAATGTGGATTCTTATTTGGGAATAAGAATGCATTATTACTGCAAGACAGGGGTGTCAAACTCATTTAGTCCTGCTGGTCCAGTAAGTGGTATGGGGCCAGATGAATGGCAAGGGGCCAGCTCCATGGGCCAGATCAGGCTGATAGACTTCCCTCTAACATGCTGGATCCAGCATGTGGTGCATGCTCCAACCAGCCTGGGGCAGGTGCTACATGCAGAGCAGATCCTGGATTAGCCAGAGTGGGTGCTGGATCTAGCATCAAGGGATCCATGGACCTGTTCCCTTCCTCCTCCCCCTTCCTGCAAGCCAGATCCAGCAACTGGCTTATCTGGGACTACGTTTCCCCCCAACCCAGACTGGAGCAGATGGTGCATATGGCATGTGTCCTGGACAGGCCAGAGCAGGTGCTATGGGCAGCATGGATCCCAGACTGGCCAGAATGGGTGCCTTGCCTTGTGTGGCTCACTCCTGGACCAGTGGGGGCAGATGCCATATGTGGTGTGTGCCCCAGACCAGCTGGAGCATGCAGTGTGTGCAGCATACATCCTGAACCAGCTGGAACTGGTACAGGGTGCAGCCTGGCCCTTGCCTGCAAGGTCAGTCTAGTGTGCACCATGTGGGTCAATTATGAGATGCAGGGGCTGAATAAGGGGGTTCTGGATGAGATCCAACCCATGGGCTGTACCTTTGAAATCCCTGCAGTAAGACTTTGACATGACTTTAAGATTAGCCCAGCTTCTCCTTCCTGGGTCTGAGCTATGGGAAAATCTCCCAAGAGAACAAAACATTGAGACAGAGCCAAATCCCATTCTACCTTTTAAGCACTTAAGTAGACTTAAAGTTGACTAATAATAAGTGTGATCCTATTGCATCCTGCTCAATTCCCTGAAAAACAGTTAATACAAAAGGTGGATGTAATCTCTTAGTAACTGCTTTTTGTTTGTCTTAAAGTTGAGCTGACGGTGCACAAAAGAAGGAGCACTATTATTTTAAGAGTCAAGTGAACTTACTAGCAGGCGTGTAGACTCCCACTGGCTCGTTTTTCTTAATGATATAAACATAAGGCCTTTTTGGAAAGTTTTGTGGTATTTTAAACATTCTTTTCATGTCACTCTTCTAACTTTTTTAAATTGGGTCTTTTTTCTTCAGAAATGAGGATCGCTAAATCCTCTTTATCAACAAATGTTGATGAATGTGTCAGGAATGCAGGCTGGGGGATCTTCAGCAACAAGATATATGAGATCCTTAACCAACACTTCCTCTCTAAATTCTTATCTAAACTACACTATTGTTCTTGCACATTCCAAAATCAGGCCAAATTAATAACATGCAGCAGCATCCTCTTTGGAGTCATTAACATTTTATTTATTTATAGTAAATCAAGTAAATGTTCTCTTCCTTTAAAACAAAAAAGAGAATAGACTTTTTCTATGCATTTTGAACTCTTTCAGACTAACTCTTCATATTGTGCCAACCATTCACCTACAGCTTGCACACTTTTAAGACCTCGGGTGGAAGAGTCAAATATTCTGTTCTAGGACTCAGGGTAGCTCACTATATGTTAAAGGCACAACTATCCCAAGAAAGCATCCTGGAGTTCTTCAACATGCATAGGGAGAAGCCTAGCTGTAACGTTCTGTATTGGATTGTAGCATACACTTCACTGTACTGGCTCACACCATCTCTCTCTCTTTGAGAGACTGTGGGTCTATTGGAGAGTAGATATAACACAGATGCCCTGTGCTCACATATCTAGGATCTTACCCTTGCTTCTATGATCCATGAAAGTATCAAACATAATCTCACCCATAATGGCTGCATCTACACAATGCTTTACTGCACATTAGATTAGTCTAATGTGCAGTAAAGCATCAGTATCTACACACGCACAGGACTTACTGCACAGTAAATTAAACTAATACACTGTTTGCTAGTACTAAGAAATACAGATGGTGGCTAATGCACCATTAATCTAGTGGGCAGTAGCACATGTATATATGCTGACTGGGAGCAATCTGTTCCTGGTCAGTCCAGGCAGCAGAGGGCCTGCTGCTGCTTGGCTAAGCCCTAATTGTTTGTGGGTTTTTAAACCTTCTGGGGGTGGGGTGGGGGGTGGAGCTGAGCCAGCTACTGGAACTCCAGCCTCCTGGAGATTGGGACCAGTCCCCATGACCCCTGCCAGCACCCAGGGGAGCCAGGAGCTCCCCCTGGATACTGCATGAGAGCACAGCAGGGCAGGAACAGCCCTAGAGTAAACTGCTACCATCTTGTTAAAGTTGATTAATTGGATAAGCTTGAGACTACTTTCTTAGAAGATACCACTGAAACTGAAAAAGTTAAAACCTTGTAAGTGGGGATAGAATGGGGGTCAAATACTTTATAGTTA